TATTTTAGAGATTCTAAGTTGTTGTTATGCACCATTTTTAAAATTTCTACACTTTATTATTATATTACTTTTAAAAATTTATTTATTAAAAATAAATTCTTTTACAATTTTTTTTTTTTTTTTTCCAGCTATTCTCAACAACTATATTGATAACGGCTATAATTCTTTACTTCGATTATATATTTTGAAATTTAAAAAAAAAAATTAAAAACAATGATATTACATATATAAATAAAAAGTGCATTACATAGTTTCGTACAAATAAAATAAAATAAAACAGAACAATTAAAGAAAAAATATATATTAATACTTTCCCACATGAAAAAAAATATTAGACATTACAATTAATCACATATAAAATAAAACAACACAATGATATTACACATATAAATTTTTTTTTATATCCTTTTAAATTTTTAGCATTCAGCATTAAGTAATTTTTTAAATGTAATTTTTATATCATTATAAAAATTAATTAAATAATTACGTAATAAATAACTAAACTAAATTGAAAAGTCAAAAAGTAAGAATCTTTTTTTTAATAATTAATTAAATTCTTATGCAAATTAAACTATTCTTTTTATTTATTCAGAAAAAATAATTCTTTTATAATTAATTAAATTATAACTATTTTTAAATTAATTAGTACAATACACTATAAAAAAAACATATACAATAAAATTTAAATAAATACACACAATAATTATTTTACACACCACCACACAATATTACTTTTTCATTTTATATTATTAATTGGACACAAAAATACAATTTTCATTTTATATTATTAATTGGACACAAAAATACAATTTTCAACTCTATCAGGTGCTACTCCATTCCACAAATGTGGAATATAAAGTGTACAATATCTGGTGGAGCCACGAGTATAGAGTCCACACCAAAACTATTGATTCTCCACAAACCCGGATATTATCCGGATAATGGATGCACAGGGATGCTCTTATATCAATAAGTTAATTTTGCACTTGCCAATCACAAGGAATTTATAATTTCCCCAGCTGATATGTTTAGAAATTTTATTTCCTCCTCCCTTATTTTCTTCCACCCTCAATTAATCAATTACATTTTATTACTTTATCAAACTTAACTATAATGAATAATGTTAACTTTAATAATCAATTTATTCTATAACACTGGTCAGATTCGTCGCCAATTCAAAACAATTTTTTATAGTTTTGATATGGACACATGAATCAGTTTTTACGGCATCTTGCCATTTTCTAGACTAGTGAAAAGGAAGGAAAGGAGTGAGAAAAAAATAAATACATAGAGTAGATACAACAATGTATTTTGGTTCTGAATATATATTTAATCAGATCCCTTCTTCATCCCATTGCTTTTGTTTTCCCCACAGCAAGACTGAACCGTTTTCCCTTGCTGTTCAATTTCCTCTCTCTCAAAATCTATTATTTGCAGTCTCACTTAATCTCATAATTTAGTTTTCGAAAATATATATGTCTTTGATTTTTTGTTCTTATTTTATTTGTTAATCTCTCTTATAATTTTTGTTTAATTATGTTATTTAGTGCGTTAATTATTTAACTCTATTAGGTGCTACTCCATTCCACAAATGTGGAATATCAAGTGTACAATATCTGGTGGAGCCACTAGTATAGAATGTCCACACCAAAACTATTGATTATCCACAAACCCAGATATTATCCAAATAATGGATGCACAGGGATGCTCTTATGTCAATAAGTTAATTTTGTACTTGCCAATCACAAGGAATTTATAGCTTCCCAAGCTGATATGTTTAGAAATTTTATTTCCTCCTCCCTTATTATTATTATTATTATTATTATTATTATTATTTTATATATATATATAGATCAGGAAGGCTCTCATGGCGGTCCAAAATAATAAACTTTTCGACGGTCCAAAACTCAATTAGTCAATTACACTTTATTACTTTATCAAACTTAACTATACACTTAATAATTCAATTAATCAATTACACTTTATTACTTTATCAAACTTAACTGTACAGTTAATAATGTTAACTTTAAGAGTCAATTTATTCTATTACACTGGCCAGATTCGTCGCCAATTCAAGACGATTTTTTTTATAGTTTTGGTATCGACACATGAATCGATTTTTACGGAATCTTGCCATTTTCTAGACTAGTGAAAAGAAAGGAAATGACTGAGAAAAAACAAATATATAGAGTAGATGAAACAATGTATTCTGGATCTGAATATATATATTTAATAAGATCCCTTCTTCATCCCATTTTTTTTGTTTTCCCCACAGAAAGGCTGCACACGAGAAACATAATCACAAGACTCAAAAAGTATGGAATCTGTTCAACTTTTTTTTTTTTAACAATCAAAAGCTTTACTTTACCCTCCTATTAATTTTATAATTACAATGTAACATCACGAAGACCTTTAGACATCATAAAATCACGTATTTATTTTATATGTAAAAAAATAATATTTTTAATTTATATTAATTTTCAAATTTATATATTTTTTGTTTTTTAATTCTCATATGTTGAAAAATAAATATGGTAGTTGTGTTGTGGATGTAGTGGTGAAGAGGTGTGGATGTGGCGGTAATGGTTGAGATTGTAATGAAGATTGAAGAGATTAAGGAGGAGAGAGATTGAATAAAGGTATTGGCTAACTATGGTAATTGACTATTAAAGTTAACATTATTAATTATGATTAAGTCTGATAAACTAATAAAGTGTAATTGACTAATTGAATTTTGGTCCGTTGAAAAGTTCGTTGTTTTGGACATCCTGCATATAGATTTCACATTTACTACTAATATTTAATACATTTTCAAACAAATATATATAATACTATAATTAAATAGTCAAAAAATAAAAGTAATGATACTCTGTACGCGCGTTAAGATAACAAAAATAAATATGGAAAGAAGTTGAAGAGTTTTTACGATCCCCATCTCTATCTCTTTGATTTCTCTATTCATCTTCTTTGTGTTGCTTCCTTGATTCTTTTTCTCTTTGACTTACTGTTCTCTATTTCCCACTTTGTAAAATTGAAGGGAAAACAAAATATTGAGAGGTCTCTATTAGGTCATAAAATTAAAGGGTAAAATACATATAAACGTATATGTTTGCCTGAAAAAATAAAAATGATTTGGGATACAAGTGACTGATTGTGCATCCATACAAAACACATGATATGATGATAGTAACATTCCGATGGAACCACTCTTGCCCAAGTCTATCTAAAATTCAAGGTCTTATATACATTTGTGGCCCCAAACTTGCACTAAAATGTTCGCTCATGTGTGACAATTTGGTCCCTTTTGATTTATTTTTGACATTTTATTTTTTAGCTTCTGGTCTCTTCTGTAATGAAGTCTAAGGAGAATCTTCACAAAAAGGTTAGTCCATAAGCTACCAGGTAGGTCACGAGGCCTATAGTTTAAAACCCAAGCCCTACTTCTAGGAAATGTTTTGAGCCCTACAAGCTTAAATTGAATGTAGTTGAATTGTATCATATTTGTGCGTGGGCCTAAAATGGGTAAATGCACGACAACTACAAGCCTACAATTCAATTTTCTTCCGAGAAAGGGATGTGCAATAAGGTGTTCACCAGTCAAGTCGTGTCAAAATTGTTGGATTTATTCACAATTTTTTTTTTGACCTCATTAACTCACACGTAAATTACTTCTCTTATTAAGCTGACCTTGAAGTCGACTTTATTGTAAACAAAAGAAATATTTCTTCATAATTTAATATTTTTGTTACATAACAAAAATAAAATTTTTCTCTTTGATCTTGTCAAAAGAAATTTAAAAAATTAAAGATAAATAAATGAAATCTAAAAAGATAATTGTGTCATTTAAAAAGTAATAATTATTTATTTGTAAAATTTGGGTTGAAATTTTTATTTCATTTAAAATTGTAATGCAAATGTTTAAAAATAGAGTGTAATAATACTTAATTAATTAACATATTAATAAAAAATTAACAAATTAATAAAAAACGGAATTCTAAATTTGTTCTTGATTAATGACACGTGTATTGGCACTATTTAAAACTACACTCTCGCATATTTTAAAAATTTTTAAGCATTGTTACAGTACGTCCCATCTAAATAAATCAAGCTGTGGGCTCCCCATTTGGCCTCCAAATTTGGGATGAAAATGATATTTTTATTTTTGATTTAAACAAAGGAAATGGACAGATACTCAAAAGTAGTGTTTGGAGTATTTTTTGAAACAGTTGCATAATGTAAAATTGTGTGTTACAAAAAATAATAGGAAAAAAAAAGCTTACGAAAAATAATAACAATAAAATAGTAAATAAATATATAAAATGAATACAAAAATAAAAATGTGGGTGATAATGTGATACGTAGGGATGCAACGGGGCAGAGTTGGGGTAAAGTTGACTAAACCCTACTCCGCCACGTTAAAAAATTAGTCATACTAATTCCGGGACGGGTTTATAATTGGTATTCTATCCCCGCCCCAACTCCGATAAACAAAATATCATTCCGCCCCGCATACTCTATTTAATTGAAGTAAAGTTGAAATTATTGAATTAATTCCTGGACCTGTGATAGAATATCACAATAGTAAGATCTTGAATCTTTGATTGATTCTTGAAGATTGAATTACGTGCACAATTATGAAATTTTAATAAGTAGTGATTCTAGTAAATATTTAGTTAAAATATATTAATAGACACTTAACTTAAATATATTATATATATATATATATATATATATATATATTTATATATAATTGGGGGCGGAGATGGGTTGGGAGCATCACTAAATTCTCTTCCGTCTCAAACTTGCTTAAAATTTTTAATTTTTTTATTATATTCATTTCAAATTCATTTATGGGAGTATCAAATTCGGCCCATTAAGAATAGAGCGGGCGAAAACTCACGGGTGGAGGAAATTGCCTCCCCATGAACGGTTAAATCCAAGATAACACAATTATATGGTAAATTTCTCTATCCTACGCAGCAGTCACGTGCGGTCTGATGTACGACGTCGAGCTTTTCGCCCTTCCACTCTCTCTCACTAACTCTCTCTCTCTATCCTCTCTCAGCAAAGTCTGCAAAACTCTGCAACCACCATGACCCTGCTCTCGAGAGAACGACCATACACAGAGTCACACACAGATTTTAGCTCTTACTTTTACGTTTCCTATTCTTACCCCCAAACTATTATTGATTCTAAATATCTCCACCAGAACCTGCCTCTGCCTCCTCCTCCTATTCCTATCCCTATTCCTAATGTTGGTTTTTGTATTTGTACAAACACATCACTCACAGGTTGTTGTCTCTCACATCCACTTCTACAATTACTATTCCATGCCTCAAAACAAGACTTCTCTGCAGACACATCTGTTTTCAGACCTCTCCTCCTCCTCACTTTTAATTATAGTAACTCCTCTTTTCAGTCTTATTATTACTCAAGTTATTATATACTATAGTTAGGTGCTTAGGTTCACACTTTTAACGAGAGACCTAGACTCTGCAACAGCAAACTGCTGCTAACATAAATGAATCATATATATATATCTATATACACACACACAAATACAGCTAATTCTGCTTGACAGAACTTTTGGGTCTGGCCCATAATTATCCCTAATGTCAGTAATCCTTAATTATTTTCTCTGTCTTCTTCTCTTTCTCCCTCTCTAATGTTACCCACTACTACTACTACTAGCATTTGTTTCTACTGCTATTAATACTGTACACTGCTTTGTTCACCGCAATTAATACTGTTTATTACTTTGTTCGGTACTTAAATTTATATATATATATATATATACACACACACACACACACACACACATATGCTCTGTTCTGTTAGAAAATATTGGCGACAAGTTCTCTCATAAATGGCTGCTGCTGCTTCGGGCTGTTCTTCTTCGGTGCCGTCGCTGCCGCCGCCCAGACCAAAGTCGCCGCCAGAGTATCCAGATTTGTATGGGAAGCGTCGGGAGCTGGCTAAGGTTCAGATTTTGGAGAGAGAGATTGGATTTCTTCAGGTTAAACCTTTCCACTTTGATTTTATTTTTCCCCAATTATTTTGGTGTTTTTATTATTTAATTAGTGTAAATTTTGTCTTACCTTTTCATGTCCAATTAACTTTGAATGTGGATTGATTAGTATAAAGATACAATCCTCTGTCGGTGTGAAGAATTTTCATAAAAGGGAATAGAAACTTCAGTAGAAGGAATTAGTGAATCTGATAATGGGTAGTGAAAACCTGATTAAGAAGTAAATAATTAAGGAATTGACATTAGTGAATGATTTTTATTAGATTAACTAAGTGTAACATCTTTACTTGGTGGCTGACGATAGTTATGTTCTATTCCTAGCTTAGAGAAGTTGTAAAAGATCAATTTGAAGAGTTGATGTCAAAAGGATATCAATTTTGTTGATTGATGTCTCAGAAGTTAGAGTTAATAGATGTTAAATTGGAATTAAAAATTACAATACTATAATTTTAGATAATTTATATAAAGGGTTGAATTTTATAACAATTGAAACAAGTCATTTTCAAAGATTGTCCATTAATCCTCTACCTCTTGTTCATTCATCGGCCTTCTTTGTCGCATACTGCAGTTCTTTCGTCTACTGCAACCGTTATGGAGATTATCATCTATTGAAAAATGCTTTTTTCTTTGATTTAAACAATTAAATATATTTTCTCTTTCGAGCACTTTTAATTTTGAATTGAATTGTTTGATGCAACACACTTAACTTAAATCTGACTAATAAAAAATATTAGAGAAAATTGGGAAAGAAAAATAATCTTCACTCATTGATAACAATCTTTATATACTTGAGCTGAACAAAATTAAATCTCTTATAATTTGCTAGAGTATTCTAGAAAGATACAAATGCACAATAATTAGAAAGAAAAAATACTTTTGTAATACTGGAGAAGATTGCAGTGCTAATTAAAAAATGTCACCTGCAAACGAAAACGAAAGGTAATTGTTTTCCTCTGTTTTCAGAGAAAGCATGAAGAATTTTACTTGCCATTGTTTGATTTTGCGTAAAACATAAACTGTCGAAACCGACCAATGAGATCGCTAATGTTGTATGATTGTTGAGAAGGTGATTTTACCATAGGATGGGTACACGAATGTCTACAAATTCTCCTGAAATGTTGATCTATTACCCTAATTCTTACATCCCACGGTAGGCAAAATTTTTGATTTATGTCCATCTTTATACTTCATTAAATAGCACTGTTATTTTGAAAATGCTTACTTACACTTAGATGATACTAGTTTTTGCCATATGGTAAATGATACACATTACAGACACATTCTTTGTTGTGGTAATACCATCATTAAAAACAGTAATTGCTTCCATTAGACAATCGCTGCCAGTCACCTACCATAGAGAATGCTGCCTTGTAATTGCTCTGATTTTTATACTTCTACTATCGTTTTGTGTGATTTCGTAGTGGAGTGGCATAAATCTCATTGATAATTTCTTACAAGCAGGAGGAACTAAAATCTGTTGAAGGGCTTCAACCTGCTTCCCGATGCTGTAAAGAGTATGTGGATTTTACAAATGCCTTGCATTCGATGTAGTTATGCAAGTTTTTTATAAGATAGGAGTTCATTTGTGCAGTTTATTTATCTTCTTTTTTTCTTTTCAAGAAATATGTGAGGATATTTATTCATCTAACTTAACCTAATCCAGTATTGATTGAACTTGACATTTGGGCAGGCTTGCTGATTTTGTGGCGGCAAATTCAGATCCTTTGGTGCCTACGTAAGCAAATTAACTACACTCTTCTTCTTGGAGTTCAAGTGAAGAGTTTAATCTTTATTTTTTCTTTTTCAAGCAGAAGTCGGAAGATTCGTCGGTCTTGTCGTTTCTGGAAGTGGATCTGGTACCTTCTTCTTGTCTTTCTCTCATCTTTGTGTGTATATTGAGTGTGATATGCTTGCTCAGGTTTTGCTGCAAAGTTACTTCATCACTAAATCCATAGAGAGAGAAGCAAACTATAGTTTACTTTACCTGTATAACAGAATGTGCAGTGACTATGTTCTTCAATGACAAAGTTACTGTGTTTTCATGGATGAAAAAAAAAAAAAATTTACAATGAAAAATGATCACAATATTATTATCACTTGCAGCTGTGGTTGTAATATAACCATATATAGATTATACTTGTTTTCTCCATAAAAAGATGTCAGCCTAATTGATCTTCTCGGTTCATTAGCATCACATGACAATTTCTTTGTTGGGTACTAATTCTAAAATATATGTCTTTTCTATATGCAATTACTAATTGGCATGCAAAATTGTGAATTGAACAACTTGCTCTGTTAGATGCACTTCTCAATGAGAAATCCACACACTTCTTCAATTTTCCTTATATTGTGTATCTGGTTGACCATTAAACACATAGTCCAAGAGAATTCCACACCGTGTTCTTTTTCTTTTATTTTTTCCTTTCTGGTTCTTGTCTGTTGTATCTCAAGAGATTATTAATTCTTGCTTAAATTCAAATGCTTTACTATGGACATGATTTTACTTTGTATGCAGTGGAGCATCCTGTTTCAATTTCTCATGGATTTGCTGTAAAGGGTGCCGTAATGAGTGCCGTAATGAGTGTTGTAATGGGTGCTGCAATGAGTGCTGCCCTCATCTTGAAATGCCACATTGCTGTGACTGTTATTTGTGTAATTGCTGCCATTCATGCATCAGTTGTTCAATACCGAAGTGCCAGTGTTGCCCGTGGCGTTGCTGTAGATGCTTTCGATGCTTTAACAAGATCTCATGCAAAAGAAGTTGTTGCACACTTCAATGTCCATCATGCCCATCATGTCCATCATGCCCATCATGTCCGTCCTGCCCAGATTGTTCTTGCAGCAGATGGACATGTTGTTTTCCCAAATGTCCAAATGTACATCTTAGTTCCTGTTGTACAAAAAACAAATGCTATCCATGTTGTTTATGTTATTGAGTATAAGTTATGCAATAATCTGATATGGAAGCTTTCTTCTTCAAAGTTTAATTTTATTTCTATTGAAAAAACTCAACTCAACTCAACTCAACTATACAAGTTTTAATCCGAAATACTAGGTACCGGCTACATAGAAACCGTCCCCAGTCGGCTCTTTGTCACATTCTTATTTATATTGCTGTATGTATTTTGCAAATACGGAGTGCTTATGAACCGTTGATTACAATCAAAGTTGGCTTAAGCAGATCTGCATAGGAAATAATAGCATTCTGCAGATTCTGCCATCTGCATTGAGATATCAGTCCATTGAATTACCCAATTTCTCATCTACATAAAATTCCACCCAACATACTGCCATTTCTAACTGCCAACTCATAAATGAAATGTTTTTGGAAAACTAGACTTATATCAGACTGTTGATTACCATTTAATGGTGTGTCTGGTATTTGTTGGGATTTGTGGTTTTCCAATTGGTGTTAATAGATTTTTATGGGACTCATACCGGTGGTTTGATTGGCGAATTAGGAAGTTGGATGATATAGATTACGGTCTGTCTGTTTTAAGTCTGTGTGCGTGTGCGTGTGCGTGTGCGTGTGCGTGTGTTTTGGGTAATGCTTTTCCCTTGCTTCATTTTCTTACTTGTAGGCATTCTAGTTATGGTCATGCTTTTATGTTTCATGATTGATCAAAGGCTGTATACCGGTATAGTTTCTAATCCTTTTGGCTTGTAATTGGCAATCACTCGTACAGGTTCTTTGAATGAAACTAAAAGAAATTCAATAAGAAATCTAAACCAGAGAAGCTAAACGAAATAAGACAACATAACAATTCTTTGCCTCACGGAAGAGGATAGTTGTCCGTAATCAGCCAAAAGGGTTAATGTCAAACTCAGAATTTGTAGAATTCATAGGGCTCGATAAATGAACCCTTGTCCTACGAGAAGGCGATCATGAACTTCTACCTTGATTCATTTTGGTTTCAATATAATCGTTGGCGAGTGTTTACGGAGGCTCAAGACTTGTAAGTTTCAATTCTGTTTCGGTTTTTAATGGAAAAGTTGCCTTTGAGAAAGTTTTTCATGACAATGAATAGTATCATCAACAATGTGTTCAAACAAAAATAAACAATGTTATGGATTTTTTTACTACGAGGATATGCTGTTTTTGCTTCTGGTGGTATCCAACCATATACAACAAAAGTATAAACCATAAATGAATTGCATTATAACAACAATAGAGGTACTGCATTAAGCCATATTCATTACCAATTTCCACTGCAAGAAAACAAAGCTATACTACTAACATGTTAGTCTACAAGCATGCCAAATCCAAATTTCTTGAGGATCTTTCCTACCCTTTTTGAATTTACCTTTCTATTAGCAAATTCATAGATGCTCGATCGGAGCCCTTAGCAGCTCTCTTCATTGAACCAGCACAATCACACCAACTACATGAAAACCAAAACCATGCTATCTCACAGCTGTGTCCAAGCATAAGCAATTGGGCTCTTGACTTGGTGCTCAGCATTGTTCCATGCAATTGAACCAAATGCACTCCTCCCCATTGGACTCGCACCCTTCCTCGACACGAACGTCACAGTATATCGTTGCTTCTCTCCTACATTTCTAAAGACAAGCCTGGTGGGCTTCACTACCACCCCAACCATTGGTGGTGCATCCACAACCACATTGTACACTGATCCAGCTGCTCCCACGTTTGTCAACACTCGAGTGTATCGTACCACCCTCGACCTCCCAAACAGGACCGAGAACGATGGGTAGTTGAGTTGACCCGGGTCAGAGAATTTCCTTGAACAGGTTATGTTTGGGCGTTTAGCAATGGCTTGTACATGGTCAATGGTGTACCTCAATGAGCATAAGAAGGCAATGTAATCCTCTGTGGAGATATCATATACCAGGCCCGGCGAGAGGGCCTTGTGTGGGTCTACATGGCCGGAACCGTGCGCCAATGGGGTAGAGAACTCACCTGCGGCAGCATCACGGAGAGGGGAATTGGTGTTATCGCGAGTATAGGCAGTTGTCATCAATGCTGATTTGATTGCGCTGGGGCTCCAATCTGGATGGGCTGCTTTGAGCAATGCTGCTAGTCCACTAATATGTGGGCATGACATGGAGGTACCTAAAATTTTCACAACAAAGTCAAACATAGCAAAAGTACAATAATAACATAACATAATTTTTAAAACTTTAGAGAAGCTTCCAAGACAAATGTTGTAGGGCATGGGTGTGAAGTGTGTGTACTGTTGGAAGTTGGTCAGAAAGGTATCCACATGGTGGAGGTCTAATAAGAGAACAAACATGGGAGTCAATTTCATTAACGAGTTCTTTCGAAATCACTCACTCCTTTACAGCTCATGTATCAAAAAAAAAAACATAAGACGCGCTTTGGTGGGTAGCGACCAATAAAGTAATTTCAATATTTTGGCCTACCAATTTTAAGCTAATTGGTCCAGTAGGTTCAGGTACAGCATAATTTACAGCCACCCAAGCAAGAAATTATTAGATAATTCTATCAAAACTCTTCAACCACGGAAAGTAGACCCATCATAGTCTAAAATTTTTTTATAAAAGAAATATTAACATCAGTTTTTATTGAATTGAACCCCAGTAAAGAACTCCCAAGCGACTTATGGCCTTGAAATATCTAAATAAGAGGAAGTTTACAATCACAGTCCTTGAATCTGTGCACTTCACTATACCCACAAGATTCAAGGACTGTGCTTGCACAATTACGACTATAGTTACAATTATATTTTATAGTTACAACATAATTTTTCTCCCCATACAAGGCATGCTGTCATACTCTGCCCAATGATTTCCCCACTTTCTGCACCAAATAATTGGAGAGAGTAAGGCAAATTCATTCTTCTTCTCTTTTTCTTTTCACATTGCTTTTTTAATGCACACTCTAGTGGGTCTTCTCTTTTTCTTTTCCCTTTGCTCTTTTAAATGCCCACTCTAGCTTTATTATTGCCCTAGTATTAAATTACCTCCATGTCAACTTACCATAAAGTTTCTAATGTCTTGAACTAACTACTATCTAAACCAGACTATCCTCCTTAATTTTCACCAAATTCTGGAATGTTATCCAAGTTCTTCTAAATCCAATAGGGATTAATGTTTAACACTTTTTTTTTTATTATTCTTCTATTTTTTCTATGAGAATAATATGAAAGAGTTGGATCTACTTTTAGCCAAATCTTTGAACTAATTTACATCTTTTCACCCTAGGGCAAAACTAGATATATACTCAACATTGATCTCTCCTCTTTACTTTTTCGCATGTGCTAAATCTCACCACGCCAGCAAAAAGCCCATCACCCCACCCACCAAATTAGCAGGAAAAACAACTCCCCATCTAAAGCTAATCAAAAGAATCGTACTCTCAAGTCCCTAACACTGCTAAATGTTAAGATCTTAAGATTTGAAGTGTGGAATGTTACCCAATTCAAATCAATCAAAAATTTCATTTATATTAGACAATTTGTTATATATTGGGCATATTAATGATATAGGATTGAAATGGATAGAACCGGATAAAAAAGTGACCGTTCTGAACTTCTGACTCAATATGACAGATAAAATTTTGGAGTATTATAGCAGAAAATAGAAATATATACCGAAAGCATACAAGTAGAACAAAATCTAGCTGTTAGCTTTGCTTACCAGACATGATGTTGAAAGCAGTCTTCCTCATATCCTTCTCCATTCCAGTGGGCCCAATTGCTTCCGACCACGCTGCCAATATGTTAACCCCAGGCCCAATCACATCGGGCTTCAATATCTGTGGAGTTACCATATTGGGCCCTCTCGAACTGAACGCCGCAACCACCGGCGACGGCCTCACGTCCAACACTGTCCCACCAAAACTCAGCACAGCCCTCGGACTCCCATCAGACCGCACATATTCCCTGATCACATCACCCAACTTCCTCCCCACCGCCACCGCCGGGATCAAGTGGCTGTCCGCCACTAGCTCCTCCCCACTCGCCGCCGTGTTCGCCAGTATCATCCCCACTCCACCCGCATCGCGCACCACCGCACCCTTCTCCACACGTGGACTGATCCCCCTATCACATAGCACCACCTTCCCACGTACCATTTCCGGTTCAAGCGAACCGGGCAAACACAAATTACTCGAGCTATTACCATCCTTATTATAAACCAATTCCACCGGTTTATCTCCCATCCCCTTCCCACTATACAACGACACACCCGTGAACCGGTGGCCATTGCCCAGAACAGCATAAGCCGGAAAATCCCGATCCAACGTTCCGGCACCGACGGTCATGATCCACGGAGCCACATTTGCCAGAGAGGCCTTATTGGGCCCACTGTTTCCGGCAGAGCACGACACAAAAATTCCCATCTCCATCGCCGTGAACGCTCCGATGGCGATTGTGTCCCGATAATACGGCGCAGAACCGCCACCGAGCGACATCGATAGCACATCCACCCCGTCAGTTATCGCACGCTCCATTCCGGCAAGTATGTCGGACCCAAAACAGCCAGTCTTCCAACACACCTTATAAGCGGCGACACGCGCGTTGGTGGCCATCCCACGCGCCACTCCGCTAGCGTAGCCGAGCAGGCTAGCATTGGCCACGTGGGCCCCGGCGGCTGTACTCGACGTATGCGTCCCGTGACCATCGTGGTCACGGGCCGATACGGACTCATTCGATTTTCCGATATAGTTACCAGTGGCCATTTGGTAACCCTTTGAGAAGCTTCGGGCACCGATCAGTTTCTTGTTGCAGAGTGAGGGACTGAAGTCGGTACCCGACTCGCACTCGCCTCGCCAGCGAGCAGGGACACCGGCCATGCCCGAGTCGTCGAAGCTCTTCGACTCGGGCCAGATCCCAGTGTCGAGGACACCAATTATGACGTCCTGTGAAGCCTGGTTGAGAGCTTGTGGATTGTGACCAGCCCACAACCCTAACTCGGTGCCGATTCCGAGGAATTCAGGAGTGCGAGTGGTGTGGAGTGTGTACACCGGGTCCTCATAGACACCGATCACCGAGTCGGAGTTGCGGAGGGACTCGGCTTGGTCGGGGTCGAGTGTGGCGGCGAAGCCGTGGTAGGCGGTGTTGTAGGTGTAGAGGAGGGAGTCGGAGGTGGAGGTTAGAGATTGGAGATGCGCGCTGTACCAGTCATGGTGAGTGGCGTAGGATAAGGGTTTCTGGTTGGGCTTCATGTGCACTATGTAGGTCTGTTTGGCGGCGATAGCAAGGCATGGAAGAAGAGCAACGAACCAGAACCAGATCAGAGACCCCATTGGATGGATTGATACGAATGATGGAAGTTAGTATGTGTGTATTTATATGTAGATGTCTATATATATATATTCTGTATAAACATATACGGTTATACAAAGAGAAATGGCGTGAGAGATGAAAGACAGCTCAGTCTCAGTAGCTGTGACTGTCAGAGAGCATGGATTGGGAAGGCGGACTCATGTCGGTTTTATAAACAAGTACATTATTGAAAAGGTTTACGACTGTCTTTAATTACTTGATTGCCACTGTACACTGGCTTGGGTTTGTGATTTAACTCAGTGAGTTGTGGCTTCATTCTTGTTGTCGCTAAATGACAGTGGTGCCCTTTTATTTTAATCAATTTCACCCTTACCCTTTGTGTTGAAACCAAAATATAAACTTCAGTTGCAAGTTCACATGGTTCACAAGCACACGTATATAGTATCATTATTTTTAAATATTGAATTTGAGAACCAAAAAAATAAAAAATAAAAAATAAAAAAAGTGATAAACTCCTATATATAATCAATTTGTGTACGTAGCGGCAAATGTGGTTGTCTTGATTCGGTTATACTTTGAATTTATTGAGAAATGTTAGGTTTAGATCATAAGCTTTCATTGCACAACCTGAAAGTCATCTACTTGTTTTTACTATATTTGAGACTCTTGGGCCAACCTATTATAAATATCTACCTACAATTTGGATTGAAAATAAAATCACTTCACGAAGAGCTTGGATCCGGGTTAGTTATCAAGAAGCTTACTCAAACTCACCCAACATTTAATAAAACTATAGGCAAGCCAAGTCCATGCATCCATTGCTTAAATCTACCAATAAATTTGATACGATTATTATTATTGCATTAGATTTTTGAAAAAAAATAATTAAAAAACTAGTTGGCCATTTGCCAAATAGGCTATAACAAGCATGTTATTCAAGAATCAATTGTGATCAACTTGAATCTGGTGATCTATGTGAAAGTTGAATCGAGTTAGCATAGAAAGAAAATTGGTCATAGGCATTAAAAAATAAAAAAAATTATACGAATTCATCCCAAAAATGGTAACTCGTCTCTATTAAAGTCTTGGAAATGATTGTAAGTCTATGTTTCAAAGTATTGAATTGACGTCTTAAAATTGGAATTGGAAAACAATTACTTGAAATTTTGAACTAAATTTTCTCCAATTTCAATACCAAAATATCAATTCAGTGCTCACAAATTAAAACTAATGGTTGTTGAGTCAGGCAGTGAGAAATGGTTAAAATGGTCACGGATTTGTGTTTCCTTTCACAAAATAGAAATATATGTTTGCTTGTGACTTCATTTTGTCCCTATCAAAAAATATGAGGACATTGCAGAGCTGGAGACGAGTCATGCATTTTGTATTAGACTATGGTTTACATGAGCTGCATAACAGTGACAATGAGCGTAAAATATAGTGCCGCATTTTGATGTTGACGGCAAGTTAGAAATATATACTGTAATCACGAAAACAACACAATTTTTCGTTATAGGCTAAAATATGTGGTTTCTCATCCTTGCAATACATACAATTTATTTTTCGGCTAATGTTACTTTTTTATTTTTTTTAAATAAAATATTGAGTATTCAAGTCCTAGTAGAATAGGTAAGGTGCTGTTTGATTATTCAATTCAGCGCTTAATTCCGGAACGCTTATCTAATTAAGTGCACTTGATAATCAATTTTGAATACTACTAAAAATGGTAAGGGCCACTTAAAATGAAGTAAAATTTTAAGTGACTAGAATATCACTTATCACTTAATGTTGGATACTAAAAATTCAAAAAAATATTAAAAAAAATTTATTTTTTAATTACCATTTAAAAACTTCAACACTTAAAATTTTTAATATTTAATTTTTAATTTTATCAAACAGTATCTAAGAATGAAAATATATTTGGCAATAAAATAAATAAAAATAAAAATAAAAATTGTATTTTGGATGATTCAACAAAAAAAATTCAGTGATTTTTGCAAGTACCCATAAACTCATTTATTTCTCGAAGAAATGGGGGACAAAACTCCAGTTTCCAGCAAATCAAGGAATGGAACTGAATGGTGGCATGAGTCGATATTAAAGATATGAATAAAGGGTTTTGTTGGAAACAAAATTTTAGTGAAAAATGGTTAGGAAGTTCTTCGCTAGGATTGTCTTTTTACTCGTGGAAAAAGTAAAGTTGTTTATACTTTTCTTTTCTTCTCTCAGTTGTCGTGACAGTGGGAAAACACAAAGTTATGGCTCGTTTTGCGTGCCCATAGTAATAGTAAAACAAAATGAGAAAGTTGTCTTTATTAGAAGGATAATTAATGATTATCGGAGGATGATCTTGTTAAGTCAAGACATAGAAATTCCTTCAAATTTAGTAAAGAGATATAATTATGCTTGGTTTGGTGCATAGGAATATGATAGAATGTAAGGACTAATTTGACGTCGTGGAATGAGATAAAAGAACGTCAAATAGAATAAATTTTTTTTTTCATTTTTATATTTAATGTCAATTTTAAAATTAGAATCACTATTCCTCATTATTATCGAAGAATGGCCATTCTATTAAAATTATTTCATCTTTCAACAAAAAGAATAATCATTCTATTTTATTCCATTCCATTCTTATTCTATTCTCACCTTCATTCTCATTCCATTCCAATTTATTTCACTACACCAAACTAGTCCTAAGTGGAATAAAATAATTAATTTTATTTTATTATTTGATTACAAATATAAAATTTGTAAAATGGAATAAAAATTATTATTTTAATACTTAGTTGCATCATATTGGTGAGATGAATTTAAATTAAATTTTTCAAAATACTCATATTGGTGACAAATAATTTAAATTAACAAAATAATATTGCGGTGATGGCAATGATGGAAGGTGGTGGCAGACGACAATGGTGTTGGTGGAAGGCAATAGCGATAGTGAAGCAATAATGGTAATGGTGGAACAGTGGAAGGCGTCAATGGGGTAGGCGATGACGGTGGAAGGTAGTTGCGGTGGCAATGCTGTGGTGATGGTGGGATGCAGTAGTGGTGGAAGGTAATCGAGGTGATGGAAGGTAGTGGAGTTGACTACGGTGGTAATGGTGGAAAACAGTGGAAACGGCGGTGGTGGTGGAAGGCAATGACGGTGGTGGTGGTTTTTGTACTTAAACATGTGAGTTTTTTGGGAATCTGATTTTTTTAAAAAAAAATACTATTTGGAATGGAATGGTCATTTCATGGGTTTAGTTATGGAATAGCAATTTCCACTTTAAATTGCATACCAAATAAATGAATGAATAGAATAAATATTTCATTCCTGCACAAGAAATACATCATTAATACATTGGAATAAACTATATATATATATATATATATATATATATATATATATATATATATATTTGTCTCAAAGAGCAAGTTAGAAATTTAAATGTCCTGAGTTTGATTTTCATATAATATAAAAATATTCAATTATCGTAGTAGGATAATATTGTGATGCTCGAATTTTTGCTAGATTATTAGATTAAATAATATTAATTTTATTTAAAAAATTAATCATCAAAGAAGGTCAAATGTGCATATATATATATATATATAAATTTCAAATTTCAAGTCATAATAAAACAACATTATCATTCCATCAAAGTCTAACATCTAATTATCATTTTAATTATCTCCACAAATATGTGAATTCTCGGCTCCTATGCTCAGGAAATTGTAAATTTGATTTTCCTTCCACATATACTTTGGTCAGATGGTCTGAATAATTAGTCAATTTATTTTTTCTCTTCTTTTTCCAATTTGACTATAACATAGTCATCTTTGTTTCATTGATGAAGAAACTGATCAAAAGAACATTTTATGGGCATTTATTCAGCAATTGTCTCACATTAAATTTTATAATTTGAAATTCAAAGAATTTTCATACTACAAATATGACCTCCAATGTCCTAACCTAGTGGTCCTAATGTGCAATCTGATAAAAACTAAAACAACACCATTCATGGGAGAATATCATTGCCGGACTACACATGTGCAATGATTTACGGAGTAATGAAATGTTAGACGCGCATTTTTTTTTTTGTCATTAAGCTATATAAGAAAATGGATGGATCGAGTGATAGCTCTTTTCAGAGTGCCAATAGATCTTTAACCACACAAACATGTTTGAAGCCTAATTTTGTCATTAATTAATTTTTAGATTTTTTTCCTTCACATGGAATAAAGTTATTAAAAATAGTTTTAAAAGATTAATAAAGTAAGTGAAATGGCACATAATAAAAAAAAATGGGTAACAATCAAAAAAACATCACATGATATGCATATAGAGTATATAACCCATTCTAAAAAGTTCATAACATTTAATTTTAGATCAAACAAAGACCTGAATGTTAAAAAAATTAAAATATCATCTATAACTGAATAAAAAAAATAAGAAAGAAAAACGAATGAAGTGTGAAATAACTAATTTGTCACTTTACATACATATATATATATATAATATATAATATAATATAGGATTATAAGCGAAAAACACTCTTATGGCATACATATAAAGTATATAACCCCCTATATGTTCTAAACTTCCTTAACATTCAATTTTGGTGCAAACAAGGACCTAAATGCTGAAAAGACTAAAGTATCTCTCTACAATTGAATAAAAACTAATTAAATGTAACAAGTGTGTATTTATTATATCTTCAAAATGTCATTTGCAATGCACATGAATAAATTCGTAACAAACAAATGACATTAAGCCTTTTTTTGTCACATTTTTTCAAATTTAACGACTTATATGCTCAAAATAAAAGATAGGGGTGTTATTTGCCCAAAATATAAACAATAAAGGTGTTTTTCTTACTTTGCCCTTATAAGGGCATTATTGGAAGAGATAAGGGTGTTTTCGGAATTTTATATCTTAACAGTAACTTCAAGCCTTTTTTTGCTCACTTATATACACAACATAAGCCACTTTTGCTCATTTTTTCAAATTTAATTGAGTTATATACTCAAAATAAATGATAAGAATGTTATTTGCCCAAAATTAAAACATTACGAGTTTTTTTCTCAATTTACCTTAAAAATATTGAAGAGAGCGAATTTAATTTGTTTAAGATAGGAGTGACAATTTGTGTTCGCGGGTCGTAATCGTATCATGTCAACTTAAGGGTATTATACTAAACA